CTCAATGTTTAATATGACCAGTACTACGTACCCTTCATGTGTACAGTATATCGAATGAAAATAAAACCCGGAACTGAAAAGAAAAAAAGAAAAATAAAATGCTAGTTTTAAGAAGAAAAAAAAAGTAAAAGAAAAAAAATTGAAATAGAAAAGGTTAAGTCACCTGGTCGAAGTACTGCGCCTAAAGACAGAAAGAAAAGAGAGCTTAGGAAGTACTAGTAGATTCTGAACCATTTTGAGGAAACCTATCATTAGGAAAAGTAAAGAGAAAGGAATTGAAGTAGAAAAGGTTAAGTCGCCTGGCCGAAGTACTGTGCCTAAAGGACAGAAAAGAGAAATGCTTGAGTTGCAATAGAAATAGATTACCAGAATGAACCATAATGAAGAACAGAACAATAACTACCCCTATGACAACCACAGTGAAAGAAGTCAAAAACCTGTGGAACCGTATTACCGTATGAATGAAAACAACACCCACCCACACCAAAACCAAGAGCCTATCCAAGCCATCTTGAGAAATTGCTGCTGCTTTTCGAGAAGCTACTGCTGGAGTTGCCACCCTGCCTGCCCATCAGGAAGGGAAACTAATCTGGTCTCTGTAGAGAGTTTTAAAGAAAGAGAGAAAGAAGATCCCCTCGAATGGATTGAAACCTTTGACTATGCTGCTGATGCCAACAATTGGTTCCTTGAGCGGAAAATCAAAATAGCCTCCAGTTACCTTTATGGTATCACTGCCAATTAGTACGACAGAGTAAAGGAAGACCTCGAATATTGGGATAACGAACGCACACCAGACGTAAGCTTTGTTCCTCTGTTCATACATTACTTCGCCACACCTGAACATCGACACAAGTGACAGGTAGATCTTAACACCCTGGCCCAAAAAGAAAATGAACGAGTTGACACATATTCCTACAAATTTCGAAAACTCCTCTGGCGCGTGGATCCAGAAAATCAACTGCTCCAACCTTATATAATGTGTATGTTCTTGGGGGGCTTAAAGGCAAAAATTGCCTCCTGGTTAAGCATTTCTGAGCCACCAACCTTAGAGCAAGCAGTAGAAGGGGCCCGGAAAATTGAAGCTGGAGAATATTATAGTGAAAAAAATATAAAAGCAACGAAAAGGAACATTTAGAAAGTAACATAGATGATTTAAATAAGTGCATTTAGGCGATGATCACCAATTATGAGAAACTTACCACCGCTCTCGCCACATAAGTCGAAAATAACACTCCAAGATTCCACCCTACCTATAGAAATAATAGCAACAGTGCCAGCTCTCGGTTCACTTGCTATAACTGTGGAGAAGTTGGACACATGACCAGGGAATGTATGAGTGAAATGAGGAACCTGACTCCAAGATCCCAAAACAACCCCCCAACTCGATTTGTGCCAAAACTGCAAGATGTGAACTTTGTTGGACTGGAAGAAAATGAAGGATACACCTCCAAAGTTGAAGCGGAAGTATTCGTGACCCCTAAAGCTCACTACCAACCATACTCATTGCAGAGAACTAGAAGCCGTATTAAAAACTTGGAGTTGCAGCTCGAAGAAAAGCTAAGAAATAATTCGTCAGCAGCTGAGGTCCCCCTTGCAAACCCTGTAAATAGAGGTCCCAACCTCATAACTCTTACTCCAGGCAATTTCACAACCCCGAGGCCTCATCGGAAAAAGGGTCCATCTGAGATTGATAAACTTGAACCCTATAACGTGGCTCACGACCTTCTAAACCAAAAAGCAAACATCACTTATAGCCAAATGTTAAAGTACCTGAACCAACATTGTAACCTAGCACTAGCTCTAAAAAGACCATTCCTCACAGAAGAGATCCCACACCAACCCCTAAAATGATGGAGACGAATATCGCTAAACGAAAGAAAGTAGTAAAACAACCACCACCCACTGCTATGTGAGGGTAAAGAATAATCCCATTATTGCTATTCTCGACTCAGATGCCGTGGTAAGTATAATGTCGAAGAGGACCATGGATAAGCTGAAGCTCCAGATCAACAAACCCTTCACCACCGTTATCATAACCACTAATGGAACCTGAGTACAAGCCCTGGGAAGAATCAAAGATTTGAAATTAGTCCTTGCTAATGTAATGGTTCCCACCACCTTCCAGATCATCGAATAAACTGACGACATGTTGCTCCTCGGTATGGACTGGTTCAAAATGACATGTGCCTGTTTATACTTTGATGAGCGAAAACTCTTTATTAATTACATAGGACAACTTGCCGAAATTCTGATTTCTCACGATGGAGATCCTCCCCTGCTCAAATCTGATGACAGAGACGAATTCGAAAAGACGTTTGACAAGTTCGAATATAAAGATGAGGACTTGGAAGAAGCCAAAGGTTATTTTACTGAAGAAGTCCCGAGTGACGAACTGTATAATAATCCTTGGAAAGACCATTTCTCACCTACCATTTACCTTGCCAATATTGAAGAACATCCTACTGAAGGAAAAGACCCTGAGGAAGAAACCCTAGAAGAAAAAATTAAACAAAACATAAATACCAAGGACCTATTCCCCGAACAACAAAAGGAAGCATACACCCTACTTATCTGTGAAAAAAGTGTCTTTGAAGGACATGAGTGACTTAAGGCAAACGAGTGTATTGGTTCACGAAATCGACAACGGAACTGCAGCTCCAATCAAGCAAATGCCATACCATGCCACTCCCAGCATCAGAACCTTTATAAGAAAGGAAATCGAACAATTGAAAGAAAGGAGATTAATTAAAGAATCAAAAAGCCCTTGGGCCTTCCCGATCATAGTTGTCCCAAAAAATGGTGGCAAGTTTCGTCTGTGCGTAGACTTCCAGAAAGTGAATTCGGTAACAAAAAAGGATGCCTTTTCACTTCCCTGAATAGATGATTTACTGGAAGTTTTTGGAAATGTGTCTTGGTTTTCCACCCTAGACCTGATGTCAGGTTACTGGCAAGTCCGAATTAAAAAAGATGATCAGGAAAAAACTGCATTCGCCACAAGCTTTGGGACATACGAATTTCAGGTCATGCCTTTCGGCCTGTGCAACGCATCTGCGACAATTCAGCATCTGATGAATCATGTTCTAGCCAATTACATAGAAGAATTTGTTGTCATTTACTTAGACGATATTATTATTTACTCACGAACATTCGAAGATCATGTAACCTATATTGACGCCGTTTTTAGCAAATTAAAAAGTGTTAGTTTTAAATTAAATATAGATAAATGCTCCTTTTATAAGTCCCATCTTCAGTTCCTGGGTCATATAGTTGGCCGTACTGGTATTCACCCTGATAACGAAAACATGGAAAAAATCAAGAATTTTCCTGCACCACGAACCCTCCGTCAACTCCGTGGTTTTATAGGTTTGGCTTCATATTACCGGAAGTTTATATCTAAGTTCGCCTCTATCACCCGCCTCCTCCATTACCTACTGAGAAAAGACATTAGTTACGAATAAAAACAAGAGCAAGAAGATGCATTCGAAAAATTAAAGGAATGTTTAATGTCTGCCCTAATATTAAGACACCCGAATTTCAATAAAACTTTTATTATTCATACCGATGCTTCTGGATCTGGATTGGGTGCCATCCTCGCCAAAAAGGATGACCATGGGAAGAAATATGTCGTCGCGTATGCTAGTCGAGGATTAACAAAAGCTGAACGTAATTACAACACCACTGAACTGAAATGCTTGCCTGTGTTATAGTCAATCAAACACTTTCGTCATTACTTTGGTCTTGACCCATTCATAATCGTAAGTGACTACGCCGCCTTGAAGTGGCTCCAAACCTCTGAACTTACAGGCTGCAGAGCAAGATAGGTATTAAGGATACAACTGTATAACTTCGAAATTATTCATCGGAAAGGCCGAAACCATACCAATGCAGATGCATTGTCACGAATTCCCAAAAACTTGGAAGAAACTGCCACCCCGATCCTAGATAAGAATAAAAAGAGAAAAGGAAAAAAAAGGATTAGTACGAAAATACCAAACAAAAAGAACATGACTGTTTAAAAAAAAATATATATATATATATATATACAAAAAAAAAAGAGAAAGAAAATAATAATAAAAAATCCGGTTCGACAAACAAATCCAGACCAGGTTACCAGTGTCCTGGCAAAAGTAATAATAATGGATCCGACACATTATAACCATCTCTGCAGATATATCGAAACCAAATACCTGTCTTCCATGCTTGATCAAAACCATCAACACCGAATCAAAAACAAAAGCCGATTTTTCGAAGTAAAAGAAGGGCTCCTATATAAAAAAGATAGAAGAAACCCAGGAAGGAAATTACGAGTACTTCAAAAGCATGAAGTGGATCCCATTTTATATCTAATGCACACCTATCCGTTAGGTGGACATTTCCACAAGGATACAATGTTCGAAAAAATCTGAGGAACCTATTTTTGACCACAAATGTATGAAGAAATACATAAGTATGTCCAAATGTGTGACCCCTGCAAATGATGAACTCGACCCCAGAGCCAAGGCCCACTACACCCAATATCTGTTTCAGCTCCATTTCACAAGATTGGAATAGACTTTGTTGGTCCCCTCCCATGTACCCCAAGAATGAATCGTTATATTCTTGTAGCCACCGATTTCATGACTCAATGGCCTGAAGCATAGGCCATCCTGAAAGTGGATGCTCAAGCCGTCATGGAGTTTCTGTATGACGACATCGTTTGTCGCAATGGATGTCCCGACCAAATATTATCTGATAGGGGGACCCATTTTAGAAACGAAGTCGTAAAAACATTATTGGAAAAACTTGAAATTAAACAAAACTTTTCTACTCCATATCACCCCCACACTAATAGCCTTGTTGAACGCTTTAATAAGACCCTTTGTGAGTCGATTGGAAAGTTAGTGAAAAACATCACTGATTAGGACTTATTAATCCTCTCGATACTATTCACTTACCATAATGCCCAAAATCTGACTATGAAAATGTCCCCCTTCTTTCTTGTTCATGGATGAGAAGCCAAGCAACCCATCCACCCGAATCAAAGCGAAGGATTATTGGAAGGAACTGTCATACAAAGGGCTTTCGACTTAATCGATAAAGTACCAGAAATCAGGAACCAAGCTGTTAGAATAACCCACGAAAATCAGAAGAAACAAAAGGCTTATCATGATCAACACCACCAACTGAGCTCTGGGTTTGAAATTAGTGACTAAGTCTTATTAGAAAATGCTACAAAAAAATACTCTTGTAGTGAAAAATTCGCCCCAAAATGTAAAGGTCCATATTTTATTCATGCCAAATTACTGAACAATACCTATAAGCTCTGGACGATAGAGGGAAAGATGATCACCGCACCTTTTAACATGAGCCTATTAAAGAGATATTACGATAGTGAAAATAATGAGCAATAGATAATATATAAAAATAAGTAACGTGGAACGTAGAGGCCCATCTGGATTACTCACCAAAAGCAAGTTGGGTATGATCGGTTGTATCTACAGGCAGTAGGGGGCAACCGAAGTACTGGGCCTCTGCAGGTCACAGCAAGCTCGGGAAGCAACCATGGAGCATAAAAGACGTAATGTCCTGGACCCATACCCATGAAACATCGTTGAACTGTTAGTGTGTGTTTAGAGTCTATGACCGTCCGTAAGATCTCATAGGGGATCGCACAGATACGACCCTTGCTTCATATAATTAGTTATAAATAAAAATAAAAAAAAAAAAAAAAAAAAAAAAAAAACTTTTAATATACTTATCATTTTCTTCCTTGAAAGTTGGTTGTACATGATAGCTATATGCATGGTTGTGGACGTATAACAAGAGATAGGGTGTTCTCTTCGCTTGAGGTGTAAACGTGTTTTTTCTTTGTTGTTTAGTCAGAATTTTGTATTAGATAGTTTTTTGTTTATTGTTAGTTTTTGTTCTTCGATAGTATTGATAAGGACCAAACCAAAGGACCACAAATCCGATTTCTTTTCACGTGGAAGTGAAAACTAGAAGGGAAGAAATTGTTAGAGGAAAATCCAGTTAAAGCCGTTGCATAACAATCATCGAAAACATGACTGAAAACATGACCGGAATCGCAAGCTGGATCGTGACCCAAAATCAACAATCGTGTAACCCGATTTCTCCCCATTGTATGCAAAAGAAGCCCCAAGATTCAGAACAAGCACCCACGATTGTAAGTCTGGGACCCACATGCGACAATTATCGCTAAACCTAAAAAGGAAGTAAGAATCATCACGATGTGCAACAAGGAAAAAGGTGTGATACTTACTTTCATGGGCTTACAACAAAGCCTTCAACCCGCAAAGACGTTTAGAGAAATGCTGCTGTAGCTCCATCAGCAGGACCTACGAAATAGAGAAGGTAATTAAAAGACGAAATCATGAATCAAAAGGCGGGATTGTACAATTAATAGAAAAGGGAACATTAAGATAGAAAAGGGAGAACACTCCCAAGATACTTCCCTGATAATTCGTTATAAAAAGCCCTCCGTTTTGATGTTAAGTGAGATATGACCCCTCTACCCCCATACTCCTGTAATTTAAAGGAAATGATAATAAATTAATAATAAATAAAAACAGTTATAAAATATATAAAGTATCAAGAGTGTAATAGACATAAATGTTCATTAGAAAAGTCCCTATACATACCCAGTAACTTACTCGAGAGTCGCCTTAGCCATCGCCAAATCGTATCACCTCATTTCGCTTTCAAGTAACATTACATGACGTCGACGATTTTGAAGCGACAATCGTCGCAGTTGCTCCATCCAAAAATCCGCCCAATACCCTGTAACAACATGTATGATTATAAAATTTCTCACAAGTTATACCAGTTATATACAGGTTTGACCAGCCCAGCTCAGGTCGGCTTAGTACAGTGAGACAAAATAGAAAATAAACAACGCTTTCAACTTTGTGATACCGTGGATCTCCATTAGATTAACTAATTTACTATTGAGAGGTCCTAATTCGGCGAGTCTGTCGCTAATGAGGGTCGGCTTCGTGTAACGTTCGGACGGCTTTCGGTCGAAAGAGGCGTGTAGATTTGGCGAGTGATTTCGATTCGGGTCTGGCTTATCCTGGATAGTCTACACTACGTCGAGACTATCACTCTAATTCTTCTAACACTGCAGTATTCCACACTACGTCGGGAATTACTGGGCAATCGGGTTGGGATTTACTACTCTATGCGGATTAGGTTTATTCTTTAACAATGGTTCTCTACAGTCACTCGTAGACGAACCTTTCATTCGATTTATTTCAGGTAGGGGAATCCGCTTTTATTACTTGGGCGAAACTACATGTTATTTATAACTAATTCTCTATTTATTTTTAGAGTGCCGATAATCATTATAATGATTATAATGATTATAATGCTTGTATTGATTATAATAATTATAATCACTATAAGCAATATAATCAATATAATCATTATAAGCGGTTATCCCAAGTATGGTAAGAGATCTTCATACTCCGGGGGGCGTGACTTGAGGTCGAACGGCGAAGATCCACGATGAAATCGGCAACTTGTGGATCACGTGTCTCGGGTCTAACAGTAGTTATAATACATTTAAAAGGAATTTTTTTTAGAGCGCGAAATCTGGTTTTAATCGCTGCCCGATACGAAAGTATCGGAGCAGCATTTTGTCTCGAATCGATCACGGGTTCTTAAATCGTATGATCCATTGTATAAGTTGATTTATGCTTGATCGATTATTGTTTGATTTAATGATTGATTGATTTATTGAGTTGTCGTATGATCTTTGACTTTTTTTTTTGACATTTAGTGACGTAATTTTTTCGTTTAGTAATCGTTGGTAGTATTTAAGGGGGAACGGGCTTTTTTCCAAAGAGGGTAGTTTCTGTTTTTTCTGCTAACCCGACTTTGTCTGGTTTTTTCGTCCCGCCCTACCCGACCCACATATACGATGTCGAAGACGAGAGGCTTGCCGGGGCGACAGTCACGAAAGAAACTTCTTTTTATTGTGTATATATAGGAGTGGCATTAGTCACGAATGAAAATTCTCATTATTCGTGTATATAGGAGTGGCCTTTCGGGACGACAGTCACAAAATTTTTCTTTTTTGTTGCCTGTATACGCAGAAGTGGCCTGTCGGGACGACAGTCACAGAAAAGATTGGTTGTATTTGTGTACATAGTAGTCGTTTTGGTTTTGCTTAACAGGCTAATCAAAGGGGAACTAAGGGTTTTTTCCAGATAGAATTGTCTGGTCTTTTTTTTTCACCTCACCCTTTGCGATACCTCACCCTTTGCGATTGACAGTAAGTAGTATTGGAGGTTATTAGGTCTTAGGTTATATGATCGATGCTTTCGAATTCTGCGCCGTTAGCATGTGTAGTACAAAAGCGGAAGGGACAGAATACTCATAATTGTATTTCATAGTATCTCATAGTTTTCGTTTGTGTAACACCCCTCGATGAGAGACAAAATGTGAATTTTTAGTAATAAGTGATTTTTTGAAAAACGAACGGTTGGTTTTGATTTTCCTTATCATGTAACATTACATCAGAGCGAGACTCGCTATTGGATAAGTTATGTAAATAATCACGTGAAATTGAAAATTTAATGGTCACACAGAAAGTAGTTTATGCCGTTCAAGTAATTTAAATGGCTTTAGATATAAATATAACTTCTTTCATTCATTTTTTGTGAAGATTTAAGAGTTAACCCCTTGATCATTGCAATATCACATGGCAATCATTTGGCCTAAGTGAGGGTTAGTTTTAGAGTTATTTTAAGGATATAGTTTAGGCAAGTCTGTTTAATTCTTTGGTAGCACCCCTTGAACGTGTGCCAGGTTGGTGGCGCATTAATCGGCCGAAGTATAAGACGCCATTTAAAAAAAAGTTTATAATTTAAGTACGAACTACAATAATAAATTTACAAATTTTAATAAACAAAAACACCATTATTCAAGGATATTCCCGCCTTTTTTATTTTCAAAAAAGTACAGTTGCCTCCGAAAGTTTGTCACGGTTACACAAAAAACATAATAACAAAAACATAACAAAAATTTATGCAATAATGGTTATGGTTGTAGTTATTAGCTATTGATGTTTAATTTACTGTATATCGATCAAGTATCATTATGCATTAATATTATATTAATTTGCGAAATATATTAATATCGTTGATTGCATAAATTTTTGATATGTTTTTTTTATTGTTTTTTGTGTAACCGTGACAAACTTTCGGAGGCAACTGTATATCCTCTAGTCTGTAGTATTATAGTTATTCGAATTCAAAGAACTATTCATATAATTAAATACAAATAACAAGTAAATTTTAGCCTTAAAAGTTTGGAAATGATTCCAAATAAATATCAAATTGCTAATAAAATAAATAGGGATTGTAAAAAAAAACTTCTTAAGCAAATAAGTTTTTCGTATAACTTAACAATATTTTAACGCAAATAAGAGTAATAATAACGTTTCCCTAACCTAACCATCAAAGAGGTTCACTTTCAAAAGTTAAATAAGGTCCCTACATACTCTATTTCCATATAAAGTATTACGTATTTCTGCTGTTTGTGAATAATATGAATTTTGATTGGCGCAGATTATTGTGGGCACACATTCATTCTGGTACCTGAACTACAAATCAGATTTCAAGATTAAGTGTAACGTAACACGATCAGAAAGATTCAAAAACAAACATTCGTTCTGCCAAAAATTGCTCATGGCTCAAAAACCACCTTTTGTGCTCTAACAAAAAGTTTTCGTTGAAAAATTTTACTGTATAAACTATCTATAAACTATCTCATTAGATCATAACTTTGACCATAACCCCAACCTTAACGAATTTTAATAATTTAGTCTTTGTACAGTACATGTCGCATCTGAAGTAGCGATTTATCTAAAGTAGCCACTTTATATATCTAAAGTAGCGCCCTGGCTAAAATTAAAATCTAATACATGCATGAAGATCTAATTTCAGGGGCTTAATTTTAGCCAGGCGCTACTTCAAATAAATCGCTACTTCAGATGCATTCTGGTAAACAAATAACGTCTGATATGTTATCATGTGATCGTCGATCACTGAGTTAAAGTGTCCCCTTTTTTCAAACCAAATATTCTTAGCTACAAACGTTTTACATGCATTATGAGTAAAATATCTATTTCTCAATAGCTGAAATGCAAACGTGAATGAGAGCTATGAGCACAAAATGGTTAACCCAGTAAAAGATCCATTGCTTAACAGGAAAGAAGAAAATGTGAAAGACAAGAAAATGCAATCAGTCAAGTGTTTAATGAGTGATTGAACTTGCGAATACTAAAAGAGCACATAAAATACCTAATAGTGAAATTTTATCACTACTATAACATAATAATGAGCAACATTATCTTGGTTGTATGGATAGAGCATATACACACTGTGGAACCTTCAATGGTTAGATCAAACTAATCTGAAATTTAGAAAATGTTGCAACTATGGAAAAGTTATTCTTCACTACTTTGTGAACTATACATACTTTATTAACTGTACATCAAATGTTAAAAAATTTGATAAACTAATTCATTTTAATTCTTTTATCATTCTTTAATTTCTCCTTCAAATGTATTCTTAAAATTTTACCAGTCTCACTTTTTGGAATTTTATCAATAAGTAATATGCCACCTCTTAATTTTTTATGCGGCTCAACCTTTTCATCTACAAAAAATTGAATTTCTCTTACTAAAGATTGGGACTGCTCATACCCGTTTTTAATTACGACATATGCTATAGGAATTTCAGTTGCTTCTTCTTCAGAATAATATCCCAATACTATTGCATCTATTACAGCATCATGAGTTAGTAGAATAGATTCCAGTTCGGAAGGTATCACCTGAAAACTCTGCAAATTTTAATGTTTGTATTAGTCAAATTTAATACGCAAAATGATGATAATAATTATAATCATACTTTGTAATTTATTAAATCTGTTTTTCGATTAAAAATAACGTAGTTCCCTTTATAAAAAAGAAATTATAATTATGTAAGCATATATATATATATTTATTCAATAATAAAATATACCTTGTTCATTAACAGATACAATATCTCCTGTTTTGCAAAATCTGTCTTTGTCGAAAACTGCATCTGTGGCTTTTTTATTATTGAGATAACCCTATTTAAAGTGTAAAATGTTTAGTACAAGTGACATAATAATAATATAATATGCTATGCACCTTCATAGTAGTTGGACCGTGAACACACAATTCTCCAAGTTCATTGTATCCCAATTCTAAATGAAAATAATAAATTTTCTTTTGATTTAAATCAGGTAATAAACATATATATAGCTACCACGACCATCTTCTGATAATATTTTAGCCTTCATATTTGGAAGAAGAATCCAACTAGAATCTATTAAAATGGTTGCTTTAGTAAACTATGAAATATACACAGTAAGTCCATCATTTAATAATATAATACCTGGAACTGCATTCTTCATTGTATCAGGATTACGTAGTACTGTACACATTTCAGTAAGACCTTTATAAGACGCAAAAATAATATACCAAAATGAAAGGTAAGGAAGTTCAGAAAAAAAGTTACGTTAGTTCAATAAATTTCTTACCATAAGCTTGAAGAATCGGTATTTTAAACATTTCATAAAATTTTCTTTCTAATTTATCATTTAATTGAGATGCCGTGCTTATAATCCTATTCACACTTGATAAATCAAAATTTTGAGTCAATGGATCATTGACAAGTTCAAATATAGTTTGTACAGTAGCATAAATGCGGGTAATTTTATATTTTTGAATTGATTCACAAAACGTTTCCATATTGAAGTTTGAATGAATGATTGTAGTAGCACCCTATATTATTAACACATAATTCTTAATTGACAATGTAATGACTAAACAGGATCAAATGTTGAATTACATACATGAATTAAAGGCTCATGAAGAATATAAATGAGCGCATAAGCGTGACAAAATTGCTATATTTTCAAAGCCACAATGAAAAATTATTTTAAACAATTACCCAAAACCTGACAATTTTTTAAATGACTTCTTTTATATGACTTACTGTAACTCCCATAGTTGTACTATGTGGTCCAAGTTTACCATCTACAACAGTTAATTGAGTTAAAATAGCAGCTATGTTTGTGTGAGTACGTTCGACACCTTTTGGCTTTCCGGTTGTTCCAGAACTGTAAATTATATAAGCAGTCGTTGATTTTGCTTCTTCAGGAGTATAATTAATCGGCTCAATTTCATGATCACAAATCATAATAGAGCGATAAGGTTTATATCCATTTATTTCTTGATCATCAAACAATAATACCCTGGAGGTGGGAATTTTCGCATTGATTGAAGCTTCGATAACGGCTTCAAAAAATTCTGGATGCACGACTAGAACTGATGCACCTGAATCGGTTAACAGGTAAGATAATTCCTCTATTGTTTTGAATTTTGGATTAGTCATCGTTACTTTGCCTCCTATAGATACATAAACATAATTTAGAATTGAAAACATATAATAAAATTACTAATTTATATGAAACTCATATAGTACCGGCTGCAATCGCTCCAAAGAGTATAATAGGATAATCAACCTTGACCAAAAAAAAAGGTACGTCGTCAAATGAATAAATGAATGAATGAATTACCGGCTTAATTAACGAAAAAATTTAAAGAATACTTGATTAGAAGAAAATATCGCTAAAACATCCCCACGTTTGAATCCTAAATTATCTTGTAATCCAGTAGCAAACTTTTTCGATTCATGTTTAAATTCGCCAAAGGTGTAGCTTTTACCAGTAATCCCGTCCACGTAAATAATCTTATCATCTGGAATTTTATTTGGATTACTAGTCACATATTGATAAATTCCGACTTGAGGAATTTTTATATCTGGATATTTAGATTTAAAGATCATTTTTGCGTATCGACGATAATTGGAATAAGTTAATTCATACTATTTATATATATGTTGTGACTAAAAGTGGGGAACGGGTCGGCCCGCAGGCCTAAACGGGTTTGATAAATTATCATGTGACCAACATTTTGGAACGTGGCGATGCTGTAGAAACGCAAGGCACATTGGGATTTGTCGTATCGTAACTAAGTTGTAACTTTGTATTTTAAGTTACGATATATTGTAACGTGCGTATGTGCCGTATTGTCCATAACTATTTTATATGTTGTAATTTAACTAACATGGTTATTCAATTTCTTAATTGAATATTCGAGCTACTAAAGTTGCTAGATTATAATTATGATGATTTCCTGAACACAGCCGTTGAGCTGTATTGTTTAATGTCTTGCTTTGTTCTTCGATAAATAAATTATTATTACCAATAAAAGCTGGGTTTGAAAGGTGAATCAATAAATTATCACTATTTATTTGCATACTGTAGTGTTCGATTCAGAAATGAATTAGAAATTTATCGTCGAATTGTTGGTTAGTAAATTTTGACTGGTTGGTTAACGGCTGACCCATTCGCACCATCTCTTAAGTCACATTCCGATAGTTCTTTACCGTAAAATGATAATTCCTCTTTACAAAAGTTCAGGGACAATTGACAAAAATTGATTGGCCAAATTCGATAAGTTTTGAATTCGGTGTTATTGGATTCCTGTAATACAGAGAAAATCCAATTTCACCGATTTCAAAAACTTATCTAATTCGGCCGATCAATTTTTATAAGTCGTCCCAAAATTTATGAGAACAGTTATAATGCTTATATAGCAAAAAGTCCGAAGTTTAGATATTGCTTCCATCCGAAATATATTAAGCCTTATCCAAATAGCCATTTGAGTTTTTTTGCATACAGCTTGTTATGGCGGAATTGTGAATATCTTGATGGCAAGTTTTTATCATGGTTCTTTCCGTGCATCAATGCTAAGCCACAATTTTAGCACAGATTCTTTTCGTTTTTCTTTCTTGAATGGTTGGTTATATAAGATCTTGCAATTTTATTGACTCCGTTCTACAAATTTTTGTTAGAAGTGATCTTCAACCCGGAATTGCTTGATTTCCTGCGTACATGCTGTTATGTAATCATCGAATTTCTTGACAGAATTTTATACAGCTAATTAAACTATAATGGTTTGTGTTACTTGTAACACGTATTTAATAGGATTTCATTTCTCATAACGATAAACTTTACCCTTTTAAAATGATTGATCAGTTGCCAAATGAATGCCTTTACGAAATATTTAAATACCTGTGTGACCTTAAGAAATATCGTGGAGATTTATTTTCATGCCTTCTTGTAAATCGAAAATGGTGTAGAATGGCAATACCGCTATTATGGAGCAAACCGTTGGATTATTTGGTTGACGAAAGAATTATAATGATGTATTTTTTATCATTGAATATTGAGAATCAAAAACAATTCATCCCATTAAACTTAAGGCTTCCGAAATTGTCAAAGCCGTTATTTGAATACACGGCTTATATTACTTCTATTAATGGTCATAATTTATATCTTAGTATCAAAAGATGGCTTGGTCCTTTTCCATATAATCCAATTATTTCTTCTGGATTATCTTATCTTTCATATTCAATTAAATGTCGTCGTAGTCGTTATGAAATAGTTCATAATATTAAACTTTTGTTGATAAAAATGTTTTTACAAGAATGTATTAAACTTAAAATTTTAAAAATTTATGGAAATATTGATAGAGAGATAATAGAAATCCTTAATATGAACACCAATCTAACTTCTCTAGAATTTGGACGTAATAACTTTGATTCAGGATTAAAAAAATTATTGGTGGAAATTCTCAGCACAAATACGAATTTAACTTCATTGGATATTACTTATAACAAATTTGTTTATGAAGAAATAAAAATATTAGTAAAAACACTTTGTAGAAATGGCACTTTGACCTCTTTAAACCTTACTGGGAATCGCCTTGGCTTTGAAGGAGGAAAAACAATTGCAAAGATTCTTTGCGATAATTGTAATTTAAAATCTTTGAATCTTTCTGAGAATCAACTTGGTATTGAAGGAGGAAAAGTAATAGCAAAGATTCTTTATAACAATTTCATTTTGACATCTTTGAATCTTGCTCGGAATCAACTTGGTTTCGAAGGAATAAAAGAATTAGCAAAAGCTCTTTACAAAAATAATACTTTGACTTCCTTGGATCTTAGTGGCAACGATCTTGACAATGAAGTTGCAAAAACTTTAACAGAGGCTCTTTACATAAATAATACATTAACTTCTCTGAATCTTAGTTATAATAAACTTTGCTCTGGAGGTGCAAAAATTTTCGCTGAAACTCTTCGCAAAAACATTAATTTGACCCATTTAAACCTTAGTTTTAATCAACTTGGTCCTGAGGGTGGAAAAGCATTAGCAAAAGCTCTTTATAAGAATAACATTTTGACATCTTTAGAACTTTGCAATAATCTTTTCGAATCTGAAGAAGGAAAAGCATTTTCTAAGACTTTATGTAAAAATAAAACCATAACCCACTTCAACCTTAATGGTAATAGAATTGGCTATGAAGGAGGAAAAGCGATGGCAGAAGCTCTTTGCAAGAATAGTACCCTAACTTTTTTAGATATTAGTAATAATAATCTAAATTTTGAAGGAGGAAAGGCATTATTGGATTCCCTTAACATAAATACTACTCTAAAGGTTTTAGTTCTCAGTGGAAATCAACTAGCCCTTAAAAGAGAAAAGACATTTACAGAAGACCTTTCCAAAACATTCACTGGATACCTTTCTAATCAAGTTGTTCCTATTAATAGTTATGAACTTTGCTGTAACAAACATTGTTTAAAAGAAGAACTAGAAAAGGCTGGTGATAGAGTCGTTATTGAAACCTTTTGTCCTATATACTTTTCATCTTTTTTGAATCATCATTGAATATGATTAAATGATGTATTTTTAAACTAGAACATTTTATAGATCGTTTTGCAATCAATATAAATTTTTTTAAAAAAATAAAACACTATGGTACAATTAAACTTAGATTAACTATTAAATTCACATGTGCACGTTTAACAAAGCAGATTCATGTTTTCAAAATGTTATAGACACTATTGCCTTAACGCATAAAACTTCCATATTATCGAGTTATCAAGTATACCAAAATTTTTACGAAAGAATAAGCATTTTATTTTTTAATTATCGCACAATTTGCACAAAATATTAATGCAAGGAATTTAAATAGGTATTTGCTTTGAATTATATTCTATATTTTGAGCCCAACAAAAAAAGCCAAACAATTTTATTGCTTTTAGGAGACTTTAAGAACACGGTCATCACATCACGTGAAATCATGCAATGAAGTCACTGCAAATCGGCCACTTATACTAACCCTACCCTAACACTAACCCTAACTTAGGCCGAGTGTTTGATCATGCCGTGTTCTTGAAATCTCTACATTTGTATAATATAAAAAATTAAATCATGTTTTTCTCGAAACTTACATATTGAGTTTGAAATTCAAAGATCTATTACATCGGGTGGCTATAAGTAGTATAATATACTATAATAATTCTTCATGAATTTTAGATAGTTAAACGGCTTGATAGTTTAGGATAAAATTTTGTAAAGTCCATTATTAAGTTTTTATGAACGAAATTACAGAACTATTGTTTTCATTTGCATATAAAATTTTTTTTAAACTTATTATTTATAAAATGGATATAAAGCAATTTTTTTTAAAAAAAATTTATAGGTAAATGAAACAAGTAACTTTATTTGTAGAGATATAGACTTTGGTCTTTACAAAATTTTATCATTAATCATCGAACTGAGGCTGTGCATCTATTTTAAATTTGCAAAAAATTCTTATAGCATATAAATACAAGGATGGCTTTAATTGCTCATCAGTGTTGAAATTCACCGGCTATGCAGTTTCTCAAAAACGGCTTTGGAGATTGATATTCGGTATATTAAATAAGCACCCAAAAAAACACAAACCTTTATTTTATTTTAACTCCAAAGTTTAATTTTAACTTAAAATTTGAGGTAAAATTTTCTATATACTATTGAATAATAATAATTAAAAAAAGAACAGCATATGGTGAATTTCTTATTCACCTTCGGTGGATACTAAATAAATCGAGATCTATATAAAAATCCTATAATGAATTTTTTTTAATACGTATAGTTTTGATTTAAATACGATCACTGTTCTGTGTAGGGATGGGAACGACTACAGCTATAGCCGGCTATAGCTGTAGCCGATATTAGCCGAGCCGAGCGGCTTAGCCAGTCGGCTAAAATTATAGCCGATGCCAGATTTTTAATGTCCTTATTGACAAAATAATAATCAATTCAGTATTAAATTATATCGGTAGGCCTGCTTCATCTGATTAATAGAAGAATCGATTGTTCATAATTCTGGTCAAATTTGCAGATCATTTAGCCAGATCTAGAACAAACCAATTTTAATTCTGGTAAAATGATCTACAATTTTGGTCATAGTTATTTTTTATTTATTTTTTTTAAAAAGAGAGGTCTATCCTCTATCTCTTTATTAATTTTTTTTTTTTTTTTTTTGTGCTTTTTTTTTTTTTTTTTTTTTGTTGTTTGTGGTTG